TGGACCGGACGACGGATATGTTCATCGGATCTGGATCGGATCTGAGATCCAGATCATCGGATCTGTAACCGGATATATGGTATATGACAGCGACCGGTGGAACGAGGAGGTTATTATTGTCAAACATGAAATGCAGTGGTCAATTAATTTCTTTAAACGTTGAGCCAAGCAATGGCTTGGTCACATGCACAATGCAACTGCTGCAGGGCTCACCGGACATACATGTTATGCTGCCCGACAATCTCACATATATGACCAACTAGCAGCACATGCAGAGGATTCTTTTCGCAAAATGATTGTTCAGCTACAAGTACCAGTATCGGTTGAGATGGTTGGTGGTACCAGTTAGTTACATAATTGTGGTTACCTGTTGATAATACCTGTTATGTAATATATGCGTGTGTTGGCATATAAATAATCCTAGTGTGTCGGTCACACTATAGCCTCACATTTCTCTCCATGAACAATACTACGACTCTCATCCCCTCTGACCAAATAGTCATTGCCACCAAGGGCAATCACATCACAGCTGCAGATATCTCTCGTGCACTGTTTTATGCCAATTCCCGGATGCTGACCATGTGCCTGCATGTTGACAAGAGTTTTTCCCTGGCCATGCCTGGTTATGCAGAGGCTTTCTACACCCTGATGAAATGGGAGATGGAGGTGGGTGGCCAGCCATGCTGATACTCCCATACCCTCATCTTTGTCTCTTTCATATAGACCTTTGTAATGCCTTTCATTAACATATGTTTTATTACCCGGTTGTCCGCTACTATTCCTCAACTTCTCAAGGATGTGCTCTCCACCATGACCGCACACACTTTGGTGGACCGGCGACCAGATGTTAATGCCATTTTGCAGGATATCCGTGCATTGCGCATTTCTGCTGATTCAATCAAATCAGATGACTATGATATTGCTCATATGCTGGACTACTTCAATGACTGGTGGAAGGAGCCGCTTGGTTGTTGCAGGGTTTCAGATATGTTGCCCAAGTCATCTGTCCAAGATGTTATGGATTTGGTTGCATGGCACTTTTCACACCTGGTTAATCAGTCCATATGATCTTCTTAACACCAGATACTAACACCATACATGATAGCCTGATCATGTGAGGACCGGCCTTCTCCCATATATTGTACAAGGTCCGGATAATCTGCCGGAGACAATTGGTTTGTGCCACCAGACACAAATTGGGAGGGAGTTGCTGGACATGTTGCAGCTAAGGATGGTGAATCTTAGGCGTTCAAGTGACCAGTTGACCAGCTTGGTTGGGCCGATTGATGAAATCACCCAGGCTGTATCATCCTCACAGGCACTCATTGACAGGTTAAATACAGATGACAGTGCCTCCATGTAGTAACAGTTAAGCACACCCTAATGTCTGCTGGTATCCGGCCAATCTATTATACAATCATGTCATGTGTACCAGCATGTAAATGAAGTCTGTCCATGCAATCAGAGGTCATGCGAAAGTGGAGCTATTTTCTCCAATTGATATATCAGTGGTGCTTTCCTGTCACTTGATTGAATTGGCAAGCCATGGTTACAATTCCACTTGACTGGGCCTTGTACCAGACATACCTTGCTGGTGAATTGGTGCATGAGATTTTCATGTCTACAATTCTTCACCGACCGGTAAAGGATATGGACCTTGGGCTCTTGGATATTGACACTTGCATTGCTTTGGAGCAGCTCGCCAATGTGATGGCTACTGCTTACTCTAACACCGGTAGGTATTCCAGCTCATTTATCTGTTCTGGTCAACTAATTTGCAGACAGTTCATCTTAAAATAGATATGGTTAGATACAATGACGCCCTGGACAAAGATGAATCCGGTCGAAGTGAGAAACGAGAGGAGAATCTTTTCAATAGATTCCTCCCTGAAGAGGAGCGTTTCTTGACAACCCCATCCGTTGGCATTGATTCCGGCAGTAGAATCATTGCCTGGTATTTGCCTGGAGCACTGACCGCTATAATAATGGTCTGTTTTTTGTGCATCTCCATGTCAAATTATCTTACCCGGATATATGACACAGAAAGATATTCATGGTGCCACAGATTCCATGAGTGGTTTGTTGAAGCATAGCATCACAACAAGCAAGATTGCTCAATGGAGGACCCACCGGTCTAACTTCCATACAAGTCCAGATGGGATGGTCACCCCCGGTTGCATCAATATATCCCCTGCATGGTTTCAGCAAGGAAGAGAGGTGCGTCCGGTCGGCATGCATTGAAATCTCTTGTATGAAGTATTGTAGAAACACGGCTTTCCAAATCTTGACCCGGAAGATGGCTTCTCGCCAGAGGTATCAGTGGCACTGAAAGGTGATGCCAGTCGTAACATTATGATATCCCTTCAAAGGTCCGGTATCATCATCTCTGCTGCACTTCGAGTCATGCACCCTGATCTTTATTGGGCCGGAATGGAAATTCAAGTCAGGCTGGGTGTATGGGCTGCCAGATATGAATTAGATGAGATGCACTATCATCTTCAACGCTGGACATCCGTCTTTAATGTGGTATCGATCATATGCAATCACCGGTCACCCCCTCATAGAGATCCCAAATGTCGACCAGCAGCATTTGATATCATGACGACCGCTGGTATTTATCACCCGGTCGTCATGGACTTTATGAATCTTGGGATCAAGTTTCTATATGACTCTGGCTCAATGCTGGCTTCATCATGTCGACTGGTGAGACATTACATGGATGTGGAAGAGGGCAACCGGATTGTGACTGCATGGTACATGCGTAGTGTTGCCGCGGCTCCGGCTCATGGCCGGCTTTAGCCGTGAGCGGAGCTTTAGTTAGCCAAACCGTGTATGTAGTTATAGCTTATGTAATTAGTAGCTTGGTCTAGTTAATGGAGCCGCATTTAAGGTCTTCAAGCCAGCTCAAGCCAGCTCTAGTAGAATAATAATAATAATAATAATAATAATAATAATATATATATAATATTGTGCTACAGGGGGTGTTGGAGGAGATGCTGTTGATGCCGGAGACGTTGATGGTGAATAACTTGGTAATGGCGTGTCAGATGATGTGGGTGGTGTGATGTAGGAAGAGTTGGGCGGAGGGAATTTTGGGATACCTGGTGAAGACGAAGCTGAAATGATGCGAGTCCCATACCTGGGGGTGTTGGAGGAGATACCGTTGATGCTGGAGACGTTGGTGTTGAATAACTTGGTGATGGTGTGTCCGCTGATGTGGGTGGTGTGATGTAGGAAGAGTTGGGCGGAGGGAATTTTGGGATACCTGGTGAAGACGAAGCTGAAACGATGCGAGTCGTACAGTCCTCCATACCTGGGGGTGTTGGAGGAGATGCTGTTGATGCTGGAGACGTTGATGTTAAATAACTTGATGACGGCGTGTCTGGCGATGTGGGTGGTGTGATGTAGGAAGAGTTGGGCAGAGGGAAATCAGGCTTTGGCGGTGAAGGATAACAATGGCCATATGTAGGCGTAGGTGCCAAAGTGGTTGGAGGAAGTGGGAAGGGATCTGTGGTAGGAGGAGGGGTTGTCTTAGATGATGAGGGAAGAATGTAAGTTGGGAAAGGTCCTTGACCTACAAAATCCTTCTTGACCATGTCCTCGAACTCCCTAAGCGTCACTGGATCCACATTGAGCTCCCAATCCAGATACTGACGCATCTTGCGCTCTATCTGAAGCCCGCAGGCTTTTTGGCCCACCGCATGCATCTGATCCTGAAAAGTTTCAAGGTGAGCTGTGATGGGCGGGAGGGCACAGATCAGGAAGCCCTGTGTACCTTTAAGCATTGGAAGGGCAAGCATAGACTGCGGCCTCATGCGAGAGGATGAGGCGGAGGAATGTCGTAGGTGAAGCGCGATTTGGTACCTTGTATGGCGTGTACTTGAGCGAGGAGCTCAAATACTGAAGGTCGCTGTGTGCCGTGCTCGCGAAGCATGGAGGCTGCATAAATAACTCAGTATATTTGGATGCGATGGAAGCAAAGAATAACTCACCAATAAGTTGTGTTCATCTGCGACGAGTAAACGGGATATGGCGGAATGCGGTACTGTCGTGACCAGTGAGGCTAGAATTTACTAAGTCTAAGATGCCCGTCGGTGACTAAAGAGAGCGCCCAGCCGAGAATAAGTTACTAAAAATAGATTATCGCCTTGATCTACGGCCAGCAAGCTATCGATATCTACTACTACAGGATCTACAATCATTGTCAATCGACATATAACAATTCAAGTACCTATGGGTCCCCAAGATAACATACGTGGTCCGATGAATGTTTGATCAAAATCTAAAGTAAATGTTAGTTGTACTGCAGTGTTGTTCGCGCGCGATACTTACGAGAGCAACAGATGACTGAGCGACAGCACAGAGCCGAAAGACAAGCCGCAGGACAGAGACTTGGAGGGGAGAGAGCAGAGCAGAGTAGAGAGAGAGCAGGGGAGAGAGGAGGGGAAAGAGGGGAAAGAGCAAGGGAGAGAGGAGAGGAAGGAGGAGGTCGTATGCCGCGGAGATTGAGGTGGCGATATTGGTTGTTGAGGATGTTGGGGAGGCAGGAATAGAAGCGGCTGTTGTAGGACAGGTCCAATATGGGTTCTACAAATGTACAGTACACCATGACCACGATTGTACGCAAACTCATGCTGGGAGCTCGAACTTCTGGCCATGGAGGACTCTGGGAATGACATCTTGCACGCCTTGGCCTGGATCCTGCTCTTGATAATTTACCAGACGAAGATATCAATAGGCTCTTCGAATGCATCACGAAGGTGAAGTCGATGCGAGACCACAACTCCAAACCGTGACAAGAAAGTAGCCTTAGCGTTCGAGACAATATCTGGAGCGAATCAGGTTGACCTTTCTCGAGTGACGCTACTACAGATGACACAAGCCTTGAAGCCGGAGCGAGTCATAGTACACCTGATGTTGACGGACCTCTAAAGGATGTTCAGTACCAACTCGAGTCTCATCTTCAAGCTATCACAGAGTCAAGTGAGGCGGAAGACTTGAAAGTAGAAAAAGATCATATGACATTGATGAGCATGCATTTGGCGCAGGGATCATGTTATAAAAGACCCACTCTGTAAAGTAAACGTAGAAGAAGTCGAGGTAAAGCCCGGTTTGCACCAGTCCGGCTGTGACAGCTATGGGATCCACCACGTCCTCCATAAAGTATCTGGAGGGCAAAATTGTTCGACCATAAACAGAATCCACCGAACACGTGCATACCTATATATCCAGTTGGGAAGGTACAGAGCACGATAAAGACCCAGAGCAGCCAAATAGTGTGTTGTAATTGTCTCCGCCTCGCCAGTACGCTGCAACATGAACAACTGGGGGAAAATGGCGACAGATTCGAGATATATAGAAAATGTCCAGAGAATTTCGGTTGGCTTGAACACATAGTTGAATATCAGTGATAGAAAGAAGGATGGCCCAAGAAGATATTCAATCTTGAACGTGTTAATGGAGGGGTCATGCGTCGGACTATCAAAACCAAGGTCAATATTCATGCGGAAGGCAGTCATTAGTGAGTACGAACCGGAAACGGTACGTCATGATGTAGAGGATGTGACAACTACTGCTTATGAAGAATAGCTTCATGACGAAGTTGTAAACAGACACCCAGCGAAATAGCAGGTCGATGTAGCGTGTCATGAATACGAGGGCGTAGAGAGCCTGTGTCTTGAATGAAATACCTAGCAGACATGGGACACGCTTGAGAAAGGACAAATCTGTGAATCAACATTGAACACTTTGAGGGTGACCGTCTTCGACATTGAGACTCCATTGAAGATTGTTCCGAGAGCAGTCAGCCTGAGGGAGGAAGTAGAAATCAATCGCTTTATCATAGTCCTTCGCGGAAAAGGCTCACCTCTGGCGGAAAGCGGCTTGGGCGTCAGAATGACAAGCACAGACGAGTGCAGATACGGATATCGAGCTAATCGTGTGGTTGGCTTCGTCAAATATCCATTGAGCTCAAGCTTGCGCAATTCCGGCAATTTTTCCGTGTTCTAAAAAAACCACATCAATCAGCAAGAAGAACAGCGATATGGAAAATCGACTCACTTCCACAA